ATTACAAGAGATAGTGAAAGAGATTACGTTTCGCACTCATCTGTGACCACATTATTGCCTAATGATGTGTTGACCCACACATCGCTGCCAACCAGTACTCCACTCAAAGAGATGTCTGTGGGAAGTGTTGTCCTTTACTTTTCAAAGTCATCAAACAATGCGACAGAAGAAAGGGATTCAAAGGCTTACGAGACGACAAATACCACCAAAGTTGTGATTCCGGACCCAAACAGCAGCTCTGAGCCCACCGTTGATTTAAAAGGATCGCTCACTAAAAGCCCATTTGATTATTTCTCTGCCATTAATGAGAGCTTATTTTCGCGAAACGCTGTCATCGAAGTGATCGCTAACACAACCTCTCCATTCACTCCTTCAACCATCACTTCATCCACTCATCAGATAATACGAGACATAAATACGCTTAACGTCGGCGTCAGACGCGCCCCCACTTCCACACCAGTGCCCCAATTAAGTGCCGGTTTGTCACTCAGAGTCGACAAATCGGATCAAATAATGTCCCAAAATTTAACCCGATCTTCGATGGGCTCGAGTGAACCCCTATATGGGGAACGACTGCCTAAGTATATACCGCCCGCACTCTACCAGAAGTACCCGAACAACGATATCATCGTTAATCCGGACGCCGACGAAGCCCTCTATGACGACGAAATCGCAGTCAATTACACGTCAGCCATAGATGTGATGAATTTCTATGCGTTAACGACAACCACTAGTCATGGATTAGAGACAACCACTGCCGGCAACGTTTGCGCCGCCGATGAGTTCGGCTGTGCGTCCGGTCAGTGCATACCCGCCAAAGGCCACTGCAATCGTCGCATCGAGTGCTCCGACGGATCAGATGAGACACAGTGTACTTGTGCTCATCACCTGAGGGCTGAGCGACAGTTGAAGAAAATATGTGACGGTATTATCGATTGCTATGATATGAGCGATGAGATGGACTGCCCGTACTGTAAGGGCAGTTACGTCTGTCCGCAAAGCAATGTATGCATCGATAAGAGTAAGGTTTGTAACGGCGATAACGACTGTCCCAATGGGGACGACGAAAGCGAATGCATATCATTGGTGCCCAACGACCAGACACTGGACCAAACGGGTCGGTACTTCAACTCCGAGGGCGTCCTTTACATACGCCAGAAGGGAAAGTGGGCTCCGCTTTGTATGGATGACATCTCCATGAATAACGACTTAGACATCGAGCGGAGTCGACGACCCGAAGACATGTGGAAGATTGACGACTTGGGTAAAGCCATCTGTCGGGCCAACTCTTTCGGCGAANTGTATATTATATTAGCGGTGAAACTATTTAACAAATCGTTTTATGCAAACATCATATTCAAGCGATGATTACATATTTGGATCGACATTACCATCAATTTTGAGTCTATTTGCAAAAGACCTTCAAATGAGAGGCCGACTATTATTTCCCTATTAATAGTTAAGATATAGTTTGGATATAAATATGATGTTTGAAAGTACTCGCAGTCAAAAACTAAATGACTTTCAAATAGCCGGTTAATATTAAATTCTTGAGACAACGAATCGTTTGTAAAGAAACTAAAAAAAAATAACAGAAATAATAAAGAAGTTTGAGTGAAGACGACGAATGACTTTGAATAATAATAACCACTTTATGATAGAAAAAATACATTTTCGCAAAACTTATAATCATTACATAAGAAAAATGTTTGATGAATATGACAGCAGTAGCCCTAACCTGTCCTTACCGTACACTTTGAACGACAGACACGTCCAGCCCAGGGATCCAATGGGCGAATCCTTCACCACAAAAATAATATCCACAACTAATCTTCTTTTGTGAAAAACATTAAAAATTGTGTTTTGTTTTGTGTTTTTTCAAAGAGGAAATGACTTTCAAATGAATAAAAAGTTACAACAATTTTTTGTCTTATTATATAATATTTAATTTTGAGACCAATTTTCAAATTAACTTCAAAAACAGGAGTACTCTTCTCATTAGGAGTTTACGCAACGTTTGGCTAAAAAATTATTTATTTAAAAAAAGTTAATTAAATGCAGTGAAAAAATACATTACAATTTTCAGCGACTTTTTCATCATAAAAATAAATTTTACTTAAATATAAAATATCTAATGATTTAAAATGATGTGAACATTAAATTAAGCGCAAAATAATTTACATAATGTTTTGGGGGATGAATTGTGACCATAGAAAAAGTGTGTGTTTTTTCACGTATAAAAATTCCTATAATTTAAAATTTCTCAAACAAATTGCCCTAAACTTTATCGTTTAAGAATGGGTTTCATTCGCTTTGTTATAACTTATAACAGACTTTCTTTTGCCGAAATCCATACAGTTTTGCTCATCGGAAGCGTCTCTGCAGTCCATAACACCGTTACAAATGTGCTCTTTTCGCAGACATCGACCTAAAGGACATCGGAGGCCATCGCACGACCGGCTCAGCTCTGGCTCTAACTCGCCGTCTAGTCATCAAAACGACACACAAATTCACATGAAAAATATTAATGAAACATTATGGTTATTATACACAGCAATTAACCATATTGTTGTTTTTGTTTAGTGTCATTAGCACTCACTTATAACATTGTCGATCCAATCCATATATTTGGCAACTTTAGTGTATACACCGGGACGACCGGCTCGACCACAGCCGTCACCATTACTGGTCACTCCCAACAGAAACCATTTGCCGTTCCTCTTCTGGCACATCAGAGGTCCCCCGGAATCGCCCTTTCGAGTCATTAACAGTGAAATTAGCATTTATTTTAATTATTCGCTAATTATTTTTCATGTTTTAATTATGTATGCAATTTCTCTCACCAGACAGGCATCCCTACCCCCTCTGTCATAACCGGCGCAAAACATATTATCAGTGATCTTATATAGTGGTAAAAATAGGGTTCGTTTGCGGCACTCCTCAGTCGATATGACGGGTAGTTTCACTTCTTGTAATGTATCGGCTTTAGGGATAAAATGCGAGAAATTTTAATTATAGTCTTAACTCTTAATAGAAAATGATATGATTTATGATTTATTATAGGAAATGCCAATAATATAATCAAATTATAAATGAAAGCAGTAATTAACTGGTTATATAAGGAATATACATACGGAATATGCGACCATGCTCAAACAGTTTGCCCCAACCAACTGTTGTGCACAGTTGTCGGTGCCATTTGGACACGTCTTCGGCTTCGGTGGGCCGACAGACCGGACGGACGTGTTTGCTGTCAAACATAGACAATACGTAACAAACAATTAATTGTTTTGATAAATCAATCAATGAATTGAGTTTCGGTGTGTGTCTCGAGCGGTGCCTAACCTATAATTGATGGGTTCATTGAGCCTTAATAAGGCGATGTCATTAATAAAGCCTTTGTCCACATAATCCTTGTGCACCACAACGTGTGTAATGCGACGGATCTGTTCGTAAGGACTGGCAAAGACGTTGCCGCGCCTTAATATGCCAAACCTGGCCGTCCAGTACGCCTCACGAGTGCTACGATTACAACAAATTAATAAAATATCAATTATTATTAATGCCAAACACCGTATCGAATGTCAAACAAACTAATGCCGAGAAAAAAGGAGAGAGAGAGAGAGAGAGAGAGAGAGAGAGAGAG